TTAAGGGTTTTTTTTTTTTTTTCAAACGACAGAATAATCTCTTCATAAAACACCAACAATGTTCAATACATAATGACAACCGAGGACTGAGAGCACCACATAGGTGAACTAGAATACACAAAGCAACAAGACAAATACTAGAGCCAATTAGGGGTAAAGCAGATACCCTCAATTGAACCTTTACCCCTAAACCATAGTCACAACCAAAAAACTGTTAAATGACAAAACCCAAGACAAGAGCCAGACAACCAAAGCTCAATCCCAATCAGACAAACAAAGAAAGAAAAACAATAGATCAAAAAACACAAGAAAAGACCTAACACCTATTGCCCTGCAGGAATGTCTCCAAATCCAACGTTGTTGCTGACAATCGGTGCAGGCCTTTTGATTTTCTCAAACACCCAATGATTGCGGGACTTCTGAAGCCACCATAGTATATATGCAGAGAGTTGAATCCTTGCTTCAGATATCTCACTTTTGTCCAACTGACAAATGTGCTACCACCATGATTTGAAGGATTCATTCCCCTTAGGTCCAACCCAGCTAAGAGGGGCCACCTTCCCGACTGAAGTAGCATACCTGGAATGAAACAACACATGAACAATGGACTCCCCTTCTTCTCCACATAGTCTACAAATAGGGTCCACTCCAACTCCTTTTCTCTCAGCTTAAGATTATTCTCAATCACATAAAGCAATCATCTTATTTTGTGTGATTAACTAAGTGTTCGGAAGGATCACTTCGATTAATTTGAGGGATTCAACTTAGAAAATCCATAAGGGATTTGTGAGCGGAAGTGTAGTAGTATAGATGATTATACAAAAGGTAGTGGAGAGGGAGTCTGCATTGTAAATGTAGAGCTCCATTTGCTCCAGATTATTTTGAGATTATTTTATTTAATTTTTTTCCTAATTTAATTTATCTCGTGCTCGATTATTATTTTAATTCGATTGCATGCTAGTAATTGCCTAATTGTTGTAGTAATTAAATTTTTATAACCGATCTGAATTATATTCTAATTATCAATCGAACCGAGTACTCGAGCCTAGTCGGGATATTATTTAGATTTATCGAACGCATGCTGTTTGTTCTCATTTTTGTTGCATTTTTCGTGTTCGTTTTACCTTTCTTTATTCCCCCATTTTATGTTTTTTTCTTTTAGTTTTGGTCCGTTTTGGTTCTTGTCGTGTGTTTTCATTTATTTAGAGTCTTTTTGTGTTTTGTCGGTTATTTTCTTTGTTTTCTCCGTTTTTTGTTTTCGTCTTATGGTGTGCAGGTTGGGTACCTCGGTCATCTTCAATTAAAAAAGGCAAAAAATCATTTCGCGAGCATAGTTTTGTAGAACAATGTGTTGGCGATGAGCAGGAAAAATCGAAACTCAGTTATGAAGTCGGATGAGTTCAAACGGGTCCGATACACGAAGTCGAACATGCTGCCCAAGTGGCTTCCCAGACCGTCCCGACAGCAGCTCCACCTTCACAGCTCCTCCTTCACGTCAGTCCATGACCACCACGGCGCGCCACCTTCCTCTCTACGCCGCTGCACACTTCTCCACGCCGCGCCCAACTTCACGCCGCGAGACCACACTTCTTCACGATGCTGCAACTCTTCACGCCACGAGACAACACTTCTTCATGGCGTTGCAACTCTTCACGCCGTGAGACAAGCTTCCATCACGCCCCTGCATTTCCTCCACGGCGCGGCACAAGCTCCTGCTGCTATGTAAACTGCTCGCGTACAGAATTCATGGCCGCGACCGCGACCTCCTCTTCACAGCGGCCGCGGCAATCAAACAAGGTCCCAGCGCCCAACTTCAGAGGAGAAAAGTCGCGACCTCGAGATGATTTGCGGCCGCAGAGCTCTTCTTCACCGCATTCCGCGAGCCTCTCCGCGGCCGCAACCCGCACGATGACAGATTTTTAAAAGAACAGATTTTGTATTCGTAAGACATTATGCTCTAAGCTAGGTTTAGAACTATCTCTCGTACTTTTGACGGGATTTTCACTTGTCTTTCATATTTTCGAACGTAGAACAAGGTTTTACGCTCGGATTTTGCTATTGCTTTTGGATTCAATCTTGTTTATCGGATTATCATTCATCTTCCATTAATCGTAAGTTCTCTATACATTTATTCCATGGATATGTTTGCTTTGATAATGGTTGTTTGTGTTGATGAATCGAAATGATAGGCTAAATTCGTACGCTAGGGAATAGGGGACTGATGTTTTGAATTCATTTGCGATTATCATGTTTGTGATTGTTCAATTTGTACGAGTTGGTCTTTTTAATGGGATTTTCAACTGTTGGGCTTGAATACTGCGAATTGTTTGTTGAAGGGTGACACTTCAATTCCCAGTTGTTTTCAATTAAATTCATTGTATTCATGCTCAATAATGGTAATTCTATTTGATTAGTCCGCTAACCACCCTCTAGTTCACTTAATCGACTCTTAAAACCTAAAGGGGAGGAGTCGGTCGAAATAGACTCGTATGAACTAGGCTTGTTCGTAGCTGTATTGCCTAGGCATTAAATGAATTGTTAATTTGTCGTTCAAGTTTGTTATCTTGTTACGAAGAGTTATTGAGGATGAATACTTGAACGATAGATTATTCAAATCACTTAACCGAACAATCTCTTGCTTGATAATTGCATTTTCGAACCAAAACGGATATCCGCGACTCCATAGCTCCGTAAATCCTGCTTGTTCTTCGTTATTAATCTGCTATTTCAATTTTCTTATTTAAATTTTAGTAGTTGATAATTAAAAACCAATCAATCTTCTTTGATTTAGAATGTTTAGGTATTTTATTTCTTTTTGTGTGATTGAATAAACGTGCATAATATTCCGGCTAACCTTCCTCGAGAGACACGACCCGGTGTCTGAATTTTTCGATTATACTCCAGAAAAATATTTACAACAAATTGGCGTCGTTGCCAAGGAAGGTTTAGGACGTATTTTGTGCGCTTATTAACTTTATTTTATGTGTTTCTCATAGTTTCATTTTCTTTGTTTAGGTATAGTCTGACATGTGTTTGTTTTATTTTATCTTCTCTTGTTTACTGTTGGTGCTCGTGACCGTTTGTTTTTTGAGTGTGTGCGTACCAGGAGTGGACGTAAAATATCTCCAATCAACAAGTCCATCAACGAGAGCCTGAGAGAGCTGCTGGACGAGCTTACTCTCGAATCACCCGAAGGAGCCAAGCATTCTCCGAAATCGTATGAGGGGAGTAATTCAGACATGGCCGAAAATCATCAACCTCCATGTAATGTCCTTCGAAACCTGGCCCAACCCATGATCGGGCCAATAACATCTTGCATCCGGTTGCCACAAGCCGCCCGAAATTATAAGTTGAAAATGATCCACTTCAACCAGTTGCCTTCATTCCACGGGTAATGAAGATCCACTCCACTTCCTGGGGGAGTTTTACAACGTCCTCCAGACGTTCCTTCCACACGGGCTGACCGAGGGCCAGTTAAAAATACAGTGCTTCCTAGAGACTCTGAAGGACCGAGCCAAGGCTTGGTTCATGACCCTCGCCCCGGATTCTCTCACAACTTGGACTTAAGTATACTAAAAATTTTTCGGGAAGTATTATTCTCATCAGAAGACCCAATACATCTGGTCCCAAATCATCTCTTTCACTCATCTGCCACACGAGCCTCTTCATGAGGCCTGGGAATGTTTCAAGGACCTCCAAAGGCAATGTCCCCACCACAACCTCGCTCTGGGGCTACTAGCGAATTTCTTCTACGACTCCCTCCACCAGAACTTGCAATACATGGTGGACAATGC